CTCTTATTTAAAATCTGCCGTGAACACAGTCGCTGTTAACCATTTCTAAATATTCTCATACGTAAGAACTAGAAACGATAGCAATATGCATAAATATATAAAAGAGGTAATAAATGTGGATAGTGATGGCAATTACAGGTACAGAGTACTGGCTGTGTGTTTAAGAAGGAATGAAAGTGAATGGCCAGAGATGAAAAAAAAATTGCAGGAGGAATTGAATAAAAGGGAGCAATTCTATCAATCATTATTTCTAGTTAATGGTGATTATGTGGTGATTATGAGAGAGATTTCTTGGATGGATGATCCTTGTACGTTCGAATACTGGATGAGAATGCCATTAATGAGAGATGTTATAGCAAACACCTATCAAAGATCACTACACTTTTTCTCACTACAAACAAATCTTACCTTCCTTCCGCATCATCATCCATTAAACTGAAATAAAGCTCTTGCAATGGCTTTTGTTAACAATAATCATTATGTAGTCATAATGCTGAAATCTGGTGCGCCTGTATCACCAATTATTAATCGATGGATACAATTTGTTACCTTGGCAGCAACAAAATGGAAACTACTAATTCAAGATCGTATAGTCCAATTTCTTTTTGCAAGTAATTCAGCCAGTGAAATGGTCTAGACAGGCAAGAAAAAATAGAGTAATGCAATAATAATTATCTTACAAATGATAACTCTATCAGCACCTCATAGAGAACATGAAATAAAGATTTTATAAAAAAAAATGTGTATGTTTGTGCATGTGCATGTGTGTAATTTAAAAATGAAGTTTGTTCATTACATCATCAATAATCATGTGATCTATAAATTTAGGCAGTGGTCCGGAAAGATCACATAATTCTGCACTGTCTCTAAGTACTGTTCGACATGGTCCGGAAAGATCACATGATTTTGCACTGTCCCTAAGCACTGTCCGTAGACTTCCCGCTAATTTAACACATGTGTTGCATCAAATTTTCCCGTGATCTGATTAACCAGACAAGAATGTTTCAAACATCAATCACAGGGGCAACAATCAGACAATCTGATTTGATGCTTGCAATTGTTCCACAACATGGAGCGCAGCAAGATATAAACGCGCACACTACACGTTCTTCGTTTTCATACTCATAAACTTGACAACATAACACATGGACCCAAAAAGTAAATACGTCTTTGATTACAAAACGAAGAACCCAAACGCTGAGTATAAAGAGGCCATAGCAGCTTACGAACAAGAACAAGGTAAACAAGCAACGAATACACGTTTATTGGAAGGATAAGTTGAAATGCATTACGACATGCGTTGGGGTTGG